CAGTGCTCATGGCCACTGCTTTGGGCTTTGGGACTTTGCGCTTTAAAATTCGAGTCTACGAAGTTCTTCCTTAAAAGAAAAGCTTATAAGATTATCTTAAGAATTTTTATCTCAAGACTAACACTTCTCAAGTTCAGAGATTTTGTGATGTGCACACTATGGATGTATGGATAAACAGAGCCTCAGCCAGGATGTACAGTTTCACTTTCAACCACAAAGCAAGTGGACTCCCTGATAAAATGAGTTTTTAAGTTGCTAATTTTTGCCACTAAAATTTTTGAGGTGGACCACGCCCCCTAGTGGAAAGGGGTGGACTGTGAATTACGGCTCACCCACAGGAGGGGTCTCATTTCTAAGTTCTGTTTATTTCATATTCTAGGAAATTTGTTTAGCTTTGCTTTGAATCAACCAGCGTGGTGAAATCAATTCACAGGTTTTTTTTGTTATTGTCTGGATTTTGTTTTGGCTCTGGGTAAGGAAGAAAACTGGGTGTGTGGAGCTCAATAAGAAACCCTGCTGTGGAATTGACACAGAGATCAGAGTTTCTGGGCGTGATCCACAGACACTCTGCATCAGGATCCCCCAGGAAAGCCTGTGATACTGCAGATTTTTGAGTGTCTCTCAGACTTTAAAATCAGCCTCTCTCAGTCAGGGCTCAGGATCTGCACATGCACAAGATTGCAGGTGATTCAGATGCACATTCAGTCCTACAGCCATGGGGCCGGCACATCACCTGTGTACTGTTTCCCTCCATCCTCACCCTTCCAGGCCCAGGTATGTGCCACCCTCCCACCCTCACCCCCGTCACAATCGAATGAGGTATCACATGGAACACATCCTGCACAGCGAGGCCTGGCATGCAGCAGATGCTCCGTGCACATTGCTTTAGAACAGATAGTAGATGTTCAATAAACACCTGAATTAAACACCCTAAAACATTTCCCCTCTTCTCTGTGGGCCATCGGGGGTGAGGGGAAATAGAAACAGATGGGCCTGTGGCCAGGCCTGAGTTGGACTCCCAAACTCTGAGGAGTCTTGGATGAATAAATTTACTTTATCTGGGCTCATCTTTGTTTTTTTTTTTTTTTTTTTTTTTGAGATGGAGTCTAGATCTGTCACCCAGGCTGGAGTGCAATGGCGTGATCTTGGCTCACTGCAACCTCCAGGGGTATTCAAGTGATCCTCCCATCTCAGCCTCCCAAGTAGCTGGGATTACAGGCATGTGTCAGCACACCCAGCTAATATTTGTATTTTTAGTGGAGACAGGGTTTCACCATGTTGGCCAGGCTGGTCTTGAACTCCTGACCGCAAGTGATCCACCCACCTGGGCCTCCCAAAGTACAGGGATTACCAGCGTGAGCCACCATGCCCAGCCTCAGCTTCCTTCTTATCAGACGTGGAACATACATCTACCTCATGGGGTCGGGAGGATTCAGCAAGACAGTGCTGAATTTTCCCACCAGAATCATCACTCCAGCTTGCTGGGGCTTCATTTTCCCCCTTGTACAATTAGGAGGTGGAAATGACATCACAGGGCCCCTCTCTGACACCCCAAGTCCTACTGTCTCCAGTACCTTCCTGTTGTTGGGTCAAGAGATCGGGAGGCAGCCAAGTCCTTCAGTCCTCACCTTGTCCTTTTGGGGTTGCCTTCCTCCTGCCACCCAGCCCCTCCCCAGCTTTGGGGCTGTCTTCCTCTTGCCCACCCCAGCCCCCCCACCAGCTTTGGGGCTGGCTTCCTTCTGCCCACCCCAGCCCCACCCTAGCATTCCCTGCTCTTCCTTACCACTCACCTTAGACACATTTTTGGCGTTGCTGCTTTGCAAGTTTCCCTCCCACTCTTGCAAACTCCTGGAGTATGAGTTTGCATATTTCAAATACCTAACAGTTGTTTCCCTTAGAGAGTGGGCAATCATTTGTGTTTCAGAGATGCTTCCAAACAGCCTCTCCTTTCTTAGACATCTGCAGATTTGCTTGTCAGTGTTTTTAGTTCTTGTCGTCACCGTTATCCTATAAACTGTGATAAAATGCCACAAGGTTGCATGTTTTCTTGAGCCAGTAATACCAAGTTTCCAGGCATCCGCAAAAGGGCTGGTCCATAAAGGGACCTTACATACAGTGCTGCCTGTAGGCTCACAGCCCTGAGAGGAAGGCAGAGGGGTGGGTTTATGTCCTTTCTATAGATAAGAAAGTGATAGTCATGGAAGGTAAGTGACAAGTGACTTTTCTGATGTCTCACAATTTGAAGGTGAAGCAAATACATCATCTCCTTCCTCCCCAAACACCGTGCTCCCTACGACAGAAATCATCCTGTTATGCTGTGTAACCTCCCGCCTTCCCCCGCTCCCCCTCTACATTTTTTTTTCTTTTTTTTTTTTGCATTGAGACAGGGTTTTGTTCTATTGCCCAGGCAAGAGTGCAGTGACACAATTGCAGCTCACTGCAGCCTCAGACACCTGGGCTCAAGCAATCCTCCCACCCCAGCCTCTCAAGTAGTTGGGACTACAGATGTGTACCACCATGCCCGGCTAATTTTTATATCTTTTGTAGAGATGGGGTTTTGGCATATTGCCCAGGCTGGTCTTGAACTCCTGGGCTCAAGGGATCCACCTGCCTCAGCATCCCAAAGTGTTGGGATTATAAGCGTGAGCCACTACACCCTTCCATCCTGTTTAACTCACTCAAGAGAAGACTGGGGCTCTAAACTGCAAATCCCATTTTAAATGGAAAGAAAACTGTAAATGCACCTAAAATTCCTCCTGGAAGGTCACCCACCAAACATCTCAGTGATGGCTGTCCCAGTCCGTTTTATTTTCTTCTTTGTAATTTTCTCACTTTTCTGTGACAACATGTATGATTTTATTGAAGTAACGTTTAGTTTTTAAAAAGTAAAAAAGTGAAACCGTCATGCTCTTTGAAAATAAACTACAGCTCCCAGTGAAAGCTTAGACGAATCTCTTAAATGTGATACTGAACAGAAGCATGCAGGCATGAAAAAGTGTGCACAGATTCTGTGTGTAGGATACTCGAACTAAAAGGCCAGACTAATTCGCGGAGATGGAAGTCGGCGTGCTTTCACCTTGGGGGTCTACTGGGGGTGTCTGGGGTGCTGGTTTTGTTCTTTTTGGTTTTGATCTGGGTGCTGGTTATGTGGGTGTGTTCACCATTCACCAAGCTCTATCATAGATTTGGGTGTGTGTTGATTTTGTTTTAAAACATTGAATTTAAATACTATTTTTGTGTATTACTAAGTGTGTTGGTACCCCCTTAGGTTATAGGCCCGAGCCAGTGCCTCGCCTGCCTCCCCCTGGTAAACCCCAGTCCCCGCCCTGCAGAACTGGAAAAATCATTGAGGCGGTGTTATCCAATCATCTGCCCCACTCAGACACATCTGCCAACTCACCAAAACCCTTTACATTAGGGACTAACCTGGGGTTTCACACAGAATCAGGATACTATAGAGAGCTGGTTCCCAGATGAAGTAAAACTGAAGAAGCTAAACAGGGAACGAGGCAACCCAGAGACTGGTGATGAAGGAAGTCCCCGCTGCCCCAAAGCCTGGAGGGACATAGGGATGAGGTGGTCTCAGAACCAGAAGCAGGGACCCAGCATCCAGACGGATGCTGAAACCACTGTGGAGGTTGCCAGGCATGAGATGGGGCATGAGCTGGGCAGTGGAGGGAGGAGGCACAGTTACAGCTGGGAAATGCCCCTGAGCCCAGAGGGTGCAAACTACCCAGGCTTCTCCTGTTCTCTGTCTTCCAAGCTCCCATCCCCGCCTCCCATTGACTGGACCTGGCCAGAAGCAAGCTGGTGAGCAACCTGGGAAACAGGGCTTGAGGAAGGGTGGGGAGAACCTGCCAACGGGCTCCCAACACCCAGTTCCTTTGCACCTCCCTGCCAGGTCACACTGCACAGGATGTTGGGTTCCACTGCTGGGAAGGAGGCTCCCCAAACCTGTGTCTGACTCTAAGGGGATTATTAAACTAAACTTACCCACCTCATTGTCTGTATAGCGTCATTGACTCTCCATCACTTTTCCAAAGACAATGGGTAATACAGTGTGGTGGACACACCCTCCGGTGACCCTTGTGTAATTCTCTCCCCTTGGGTGTGGGTGGAACATGTGACTTACTTCTAGTCCAGAGAGTAGGGCAGAGAGGAGGGGCTGTCAGTCCTGTGATTATCACCTTATTTTATATAAGATGCTGTCTAAGCAGACTAGAGTGAGAGATTCTTCCGCTGGCCTTGAAGAAGCAAAATAGCCATGATTTGAAATGTCTGTAGAGAGTCACATGGCAGGGAACTGCCGGGGGCCACTCGGGCCTGTGCAGCCTTTTCTCTACGCCTGTAGCAGCGGGGCCCTTGGTCATACAGCTGCAGGAAAATGAATCTGCCAACATCCTGAATACGCTTGGACATGAATTCTCCCTGGCCATATCTTCAGATGAGAATACAGCCTGCCTGCTACTAAACTGTAGTCTTATGAGGCCCTGAATATAGGATGCAGTGAAGCTAGGCCTGGATTCCTCAATCACGAAAAATGAAGGAATCGATGTGTTGTTTTAAGTCACCAAATTTGTGGTGCTTTGTGACACTGCAATAGAAAATGGATAAAGTGGGAAGGAAGGTTCTCTACTTCCCTCTTTCCAAACTGCAGAGCTTCAGTTTAAAAGGTGGGATAATAAATAAGTCACTTAGGAATTACCTGCCTTCCCCGCTCTGAGCCCAAACTGCCAGGGACAATTGGCAGGCAGTTCTGTGCGGCGGGCAGAGCTGCAGCTAAGGATGTCCTCCGTGCTCCCGGCTAGAGTCTATTGTCAGTGCTGGTCCTCCCATGGTGCTGGGAGAGGCCAAAACGTCAGGGCTGGACTAGGGGTGCTGTGGGTCGGGCTGGTAAATGGACTCTCAGGTCTGGACGTTTCACCCTCAAATGATACAAACATGGACAAAAGGTCGAATGAGACCACCACTAACTAGGAATGGCACGGAATGCTTGAGTATACCTTTTTACGCCATTTTATTTTCTTTCATGCAGATCAGTGTTGGCGGAAATCCCATAGATTCTTCTGGAAACTGTCAAGATGGTGGGAAGATGAATGCAAAAGTTGCATAGATTGGGCTGCCCACAGTTTGGATTTTCAAGATCTAAAACATGAAACAAAACAAGGCGAATGGGACTTTTAAGATAAACACAATTGTCCCCCAGAAGGAGAAAAAGGAAGGCCTGGCAGTTGTAGAAGCTGCTGGTTCTCAACTATGGTTGCACATCAGAATGGCCTGCAGAGGGTATTTGAAATAAACTGCCAATAAATCAGGTATAACTTAAACACAATCACGTACACAAATCTTAAGAGGAGAGCTTGATGAATTTTCACTAAGTAAACACTCCTCTGTAACTATCACCCTGATCAAGACAAGTATTTCCAGCCCCACAGAAATCTCCTTCTTAATGTTCTCCCTTAATTTCCCAGCCCCTCTCCCTCGCTCCCACAAAGGAAATTGTCACTATGATTTCTAATATCATAGAAAATAACCTGGAAGCTTTTAAAAATACTGATACTCAGGTACGACCCATGGAGTATCTGCTCTGGTGATATGGGTGGGGCTCTGGCCTTGGGAGTGATAAAGTGCTCAGGTGATTCTGATGTGCAGTCAGGACTGGGAATTACTCACTGGCTTGTAGCAAAGTCTTATTCTGGTCAGAAGCCAGGCAAGGCAGTGGATCTGCCTGGATGCTGGCAACCACCTACTGAAGTAGACGGGCCCCATCCTTCCCCAGCAGGCCTGAGGCAGGTGGGTCTGGGTTGTGGATTTCAGGGAAATTAACGGGTCACTCACAGGCATCAGTGGAGGCAGTGATGGCAAATACACTCCACGGAGCCTCCTCACCTCAAAAAACAAACAAACAAACAACAACAACAAAAATCCTTTGATGCTTATAAAATAGATCTGGTGTGACCCAAACCAAGCAGTCTGATTTGGGTTATAGTTATCTGTTTCCTTGGTTTTTCATCCTAGAAGAGATTTCTCTTTAGCATTATTTGAGGCTGTGATAACCCTTAAGAAACTGAGCCTGATTTTCTAGGGATCTCCAGTGTAGGGCACTAGAGATTAGAAGCTGGTGATCCCCAAAGGATCGGGGAGAGAAAGAGCAAAAAGGAAATAAAAGAAAAAGACAACATGGACACTTGCACGGCTTTTGCAGGATGGCTTGGCCAACTCAAACTTCTGCAAGACCTCGTCTGTCCTGAACTCCTGCCACTTGCCGTCAACCAGGGTCCGGGCTCTGATCTCATACTTCACCAGGCGCACTGCTCGCAGGCTGACGGGCTTGTGCTTGTAGACCATGGAAGGGGATTCCAGGTCTGTGTGCTTTATTCTCTGCAAAGAGAGTGACCCACCTCAGGTGGAACTGCAATCGGGGTGGCCCAGAGTTCACGAAAGCCGGCGTCTGGCACATAGACCCTGGTATATAATATGTGAGGGCAGTAAGAGGGCATTTCCCAATTGGCACAATCTCCTAAAAACGGCTGCTACTGAGTCAGTTCTCATTTGAGCCCTCACCCTACATAAACTACTGGCTCATGGCCTGGACTTGGGCGAACCTAGAAAAATACCATGAAGTCAAGCTTTATGATGGCTTTGCCAGAATTGAAAAACCAACATAATACTCATAAGGGCGTTTGGACTGGTATTGTCACATAATTCATCTCTTCCAACCAGAAGAACTCACTGTGTAGGGAGACACCTGAGTCAGTGGAGACCAAGAGCTGAGGAAGAGAAATGACTTGCTCCAGGGCACATATGAGGTACTGGCAAAGCTGGACTAAAACTCTGGTTTCTTCATTCATGTATTCATTTCTTCATTTATCCATTCATTCATTCATTCATTCAGTCATTCATTCAGTCATTAAAACTCCTTTATATAGAGGTGACCAAGACTGTGCCACTGCACTCCAGCCTGGGTGACAGAGTGAGACTCCATCTCAAAAAATAAAGAAAAGTGAAAAAGTAAAGCTGCTCTGTGTTCCTGGTACTGTGATTGACAGCAGTAACAAAAAGATTAATAAGATATGGCCTCCCAAAAGTGTGCAGATCAGAGAAGAGAGGCGTATAAACAAATCTTAAGTGGAACACAGTGACCCTTCATCATAGTTGGCATTGTCATCGTCAACATCACCATCCTCATCTTCCCTGCTGCATATGGTGCTTTGTGTGTCAAGCTCGTTCCAAGCCACCCTTTACACAGATGAACACATTGAAACTCACAACAACCTGGAGAGGTATGTCCTGTTACCTTCTCAGTCTTAAAGGTGGGGAACCTGCACAGGGGAGGGTTTCTGGCACTTGCCCAGGTCCTACAGCTCGAAGGCCATTGGTCTGCGGACTGTCCACTCCTAATCATGGCATTCTCCTGCCTCTCCTAAGGTCCAGTAGGAGCACTGCAGAGAAGCCAAGCACCCTCCTGACTTTTCTGGGGTCCTGCCCATAGCCCACTTTGCAGCTAAACAAAATTAACCCCTCTCCCAGTTGGGGGCACTACCGGTTATCTTCATGGGAGAATAACTGAATTATATGTATAAACTGAAGTTGAATTGAGCCCTACATGTGGAGACAGAAGACTAGGATCTAATTCTGGCTTTACCAACAGAGGCTACTCAGTTTTCAGACACTCAGTTTTCAGATCGTCTTCTGCTAAGTGGGCTACCAGTACCTACTTCCCAAGGTTGTTATAAAAATCAAATAACAGCACATATACTAGCGTGGTTAGCACTTACAATACAGTTCATATCGATTAGTAATTAATGATGAATCAATTATTATTAATTCAACATGGATTGACTCTAAATCTAAAAGATTGTTTCAGAGACACAACTTTCATGCATTCTACCCTTACCTGCATGTAAAAACTGTAAGAGGCAGCATCATGTTTCAGTCCCTTTATCTCAAAGAAGAATCCATATACAGCAATCATTTTTGAATAAGTTGTATATTCCTAAAATGAAGTGGGGAGAAATATTTAGTATTCAAAGTCAGCTGGGTGCAGTGGCTCACGCCTGTAATCCCAGCACTTTGGGAGGCCAAGGCAGGTGAATCGTCTAAGGTCAGGAGATCGAGACCAACCTGGCCTATGTCTTTTAGTAGACACGGGGGCAAAACCCTGTGTCTACTAAAAATACAAAAAAAAAAAAAAAAAAAATTAGTTGGGCGTGGTGGTGTGTGCCTGTAGTCCCCAACTACTCAGGAGGCTGAGGCAGGAGAATTGCTTGAACCCAGGGGGCAGAGGTTGCAGTGAGTCGAGATTGCATCACTGCACTCCAGCCTGGGTGACAGAGCAAGACTCTATCTCAAAAACAAACAAACAAAAAAAGTCAAGAGGACATGGTAAAACAAAGAATAGCAACAACAACAAATGTCACTCATTCTGCAACTGATTTGAAGGTGAAAATACCATGGCAATTCTAGCCTAGGAAACATGGGAAAAGCCAAACTGAAATCCTTGGTAGTGGTAACTACTACTCACAACTTGGAATAAATTCACTTCAAATTGGATGGCCATTTCGACTTCAGTTAAAAAAAAAATTCTATACTACATATTAATGCTTTTAAGTGTAACATATGATTTTGAATGAAATATACTTTGAACAGTCGTGCAAGAAGATTCCACTGCCCAGTGAACCCTGGAGTCTACCTTGAGAACGATTGTTAAAGGAAAAGCCATCAGTGGCCCCAAAGGCCAGCTTTGACTAATCCACCTTATTCTTTAAAAATATTTCAGTTCTCACAATATTATAAAAAAATTACAAAGCAAAAAGGAAGAAGATATTTCAGCTACATACAGCTCTAATTTAAAATTTCTTCTATTTTCATGTTTTTCCCCATACTTTTCCCTGTAGCTTCTTTCCCAGGTCCCTGGGAACCCATAAAGTTTTCAAAAGTTACAGTGTTCCCCCCAAACCACACCTCACCCCAACGTTCACAGTCCCCCGGCTGCGATCCTTCTTGGCAAAGAAGGTTTGAGATCAGGTAATCAGTGTTTCTGGAGTGTTTACACCCTCCTCCCCTTGCTCTCACTACTAACGGTACCGTTGGTAGAAGTTAGTTTAGACTTAGTAGTAGCTACTGAACAGTGGCAATATTATTTACTCTTTATGTTCCCTAGTGAGGAAAAGAAGAGGTTAGGTATGTTCTTAGATGACCTGTAGTCTATAGACCTTTGAAACAAAGCATGTGGTTTCAATTTGATGGGCACAAGAGCCACTCAGCACTTGCAGAAAGTCCTGGCTCTGTGACCCACATCTGCCGACTTAGGTACTGCATCTCTGAACCAAAAGGCTGAGCCAGCCTATCCAGGGATGACTCAGAGGGGACCCTCTGATGATAGATTCAAGGCCTCTAGTTCTTAGAAAATGAATTCTTTTGAGATCACTGCTGGGGTGCTTTGAAATAATCAAAGGAGACCGGTGATTTCCTGGAGAATTATTTCCATCACAAGGAACCCAGCATGGAGCACAGCCAGCAACCCCAACCTCCCCTGGTCACTAAGCGTCAAGATGCCTTGCAATCAAGTTCCTTAAACCACTGCAGATCCATCAGGATAGCTGCCCAGACTGAGTTCACCCCTATAACCTTAAACACGGACTTGGCATGGAGTCTCTCACTGTTTGCAACTATTGATGTTTGTGGGAAATAGGATGGCCATCCCTTCCCAGTTTGCCTTGGCCTCACCTGGCTTTAGAATTGAAGTCCTGCATCCCAGGGCACCTCCTCCATCCCGGTACCACCGGGACCACTGGTCCCGCTAGTGGGGGAATTATTATTTTTTTTTGAGACGGAGTTTCGCTCTTGTTACCCAGGCTGGAGTGCAATGGCGCAATCTCGGCTCACCGCAACCTCCGCCTCCTGGGTTCAGGCAATTCTCCTGCCTCAGCCTCCTGAGTAGCTGGGATTACAGGCACACGCCACCATGCCCAGCTGAATTTTTGTATTTTTAGTAGAGACGGGGTTTCACCATGCTGACCAGGATGGTCTCGATCTCTTGACCTCGTGATCCACCCGCCTCGGCCTCCCAAAGTGCTGAGATTACAGTAGTGGCGGAATTATTAAACAGCGTCTCAAGCTCCTGCCTTGTGAATTTTATTTCCTGGGAGCTGATGAGCATGCAGGAGAGACAAGCCATGATTCCCTCTTCTGTCCCCTGACCTTTCTACCAGGAGTCAGAAGTGATCGCAGCCACCCTCCAAAGGTTCTTAACTAAGCATGAGAGGGACAGTTCTTTCCCTTGTTCTAGTGCAGGTCTCAGTACCTGGTTAAAGAGCAGCCCAAATCTCACAGCCTGGGTGTTAAGATCTTTCAAGTAAGCCATGTCACCTCCGTTCTCCAGCTGAAAGGAAAATGCACACAGCTGACCACAGTGGGATCCTGCAGACACAAGTGCCTCTCTTCATCTCCAAGTCTCTTCCTTGATCTCTGCACCCCTCACTATATTTGAAAAAGAGTTTTGCCTCTAGACGCACATTCAGCCATTCATTCAGTTCACAGACATTTATTAAAACCCTCCTGTGTCAGGTCCTGCGCATGGTGCTTTCAGAGGATGCAAGGAGAAGACAGAAAATTACCTGAGCAGTCTCACCTGGGAAATAAAATGTGCACACAGGGCAGAGATGACCATGGTCACAAAATCAAGAGCAAGTAAGGACCCTCATGGCAGGCTTCAAGGTGAGGGCTGGGGAGGGGAGGGAGCGGAATTCAAGAGGATGGCATTGGTAGCAGGGAACAAAAGGAAGGAGGTGGGCAGGGTCAGAGGACCAAGAGGGAGGTGGAGACTTCCCGAGACATCTGCACAGACTGTCCCCTCTCTGTCACTCCTGTGCTGCTCTGTTAGAGCACGGTCCTGAGTTGTGTCCCAGAAAAGCACCTCCTTCCACGGAGTCAAGATCTATGGTGTGGGCAGTGCTGAGCACTGTGGTTTGCACATTACAATAGGTATTTGTGGAGCAGGACTGAATTTTAACTAGTGACTCATACATCTTCAGAACTCACACACTGCCCTTCTTCATCTCTAAAATGCGAGATTGAAAACACATAAGAAGTACAACAGTTAGCATGGACAATTCACAAAGGGGAAATGCTGCATGGAAAAACATTCCCAGCTACCAGTAATAAAGGGAATGCATATTAAAAAATGAGATGCCGTTGTTCCCTTCTCAATTAACAAAAGCAATTTGAAATTTAAATGCTCTACGTTGCTGAGGGTGTACAAAGAGAGACATGCTCATTTATTACTGGAAGAAAAGTAATTTGGTCCCAACATTTGTTAATCTGTATCAAGAACAAAAATGCAGATGGCAGGTGCTGGAATTACCCAGATTCCAAGTCTGGGTCTTCTCCCTTCTCTCCTTCCCAGGCACTGCTCTCTCCTCTTTCCCTGGAGAACAATCCAGATATGTCCTTACCTCAAAGGTCTAAAGGTTTCAAATGTGAAACACATCTCCAGAAAACACAAAGTCAGAGAGGCAATACATTTCAACAACTGTTTCCTTGCAGGGCAGGCAACTCACTGCGTGGTAATGGTTGGCCGTGACCCGGTTCAGCCACGACTCTGGGAAGAAGTTAAGGTCCTGCAGCTCCTCCAGATCCTTGCCTTGGAAGAAACACAAAAGGAACATTTTTTCATTTTATTCACACCAGAGCCTCAAAAGTCCCATTTACAGAAAGGAAAAGGAAGAAGTCAGGAGGGAAGAGAAAAGGGTGGATGGTCTCCTTTAAGATTTGATTGACAAAGTGGAAATAAAACATCTCAGGGTCACTGTGGTTATGTTCAGAGTCAATTACTTTTGTATTTCAAATCAATTCTCTTCAAAAAAACTTATACAAATACCAGCCTGATCAACATGGTGAAGCCCTGTCACTACTAAAAATGCAAAAATCAGCTGGGCATGGTGGCGCGCACATATAATCCCAGCTACTCCGGAGGCTGGGGTAGGAGAATCACTGGAACCCAGGAGATGGAGGTTGTAGCGAGCCAAGATTGCACCAGTGCACTCCAGCCTTGAGGGACAGTGAGACTCCATCTCAAAAAAAAAAAAACAGAAGAAAATTATACAAATAAACTTCCAAAGAATGAATAAATTCAATGGCCATTTCAACTTCAGTTTTTAAAAAATCTATACTACATATTAATGATTTTAAGTGTAACTTATATAATTTTGAATGAAATATACTCTCAACAATCTTGCAAGAAGATATTGCTGCCCAGTGAACCCTGGAAGGTACCTTAAGGACTATTGTTAAAGGAAAAGCCATCAGTGGCCCTCAAAGGTTAGCTTTGACCAGTCCTCCTTATTTTTTAAAGATATTTCAGTTCTCACAATATTGTCAAAAAAATTACAAAGCAAACAGGAAGAAGTTATTTAGGCTGCACATAGATCCAGTTAAAATTTCTATATATTTTTTTCTGTTTTATTTTATTTTTATTTCTTAGATCTCCCTTCCTAGATCCCTAGGAGAAAGTTACAGCGTTCCCCTGCAACCATTCCTCACCCCAACATTCACAGGCCCCTGGCTGCAGTCCTGCCTGGCAAAGGAGGTTTGAGATCAGGTAATCAGTGTTTCTAGAATGTTTAGAAGCAACTTGGACAAAACTACCTGACTCCATCAACCATTCCTGAGTTCTAGAGCTACTTAGTATATCTGGATAGCTGGAAATGGCTTTGAAAATGTTCTCAGATGTCCTTTCGGATGCAAAGATCTCATGGGTGGCCTCCTGGACTGCGGATAACATGCTCCCCAATATGTCTTTCCTCTTTCCGAGTGACAGGTGCCATCCCCTGTGCCCAGAGCATGAGGCTGAGGGAGCAGAAGCCTGGATGGGGCACAGATCCAGAGTTTTCTCCCAAACTGCAGAACAAGGGGCCTAGAAGTGAACCATGTGAAGAGGTAGGACATACAATTCAATCAAGTCAATGCCAGTAAAACAGCCTTTGGCAGCTGTACACTGCTTCACAAGATACAAGCCCCTTCTAGCCATCATCAGATTTCATCAGAGCTCCCATTACCCCCATTTTACAGATAGAGAAAGTGAGACCAGGCAGCTACATGACTTTCCCCAAGTCACACAGATTGGAAGTGGCAATGCCACGTTTCAGCTGATTCCCTTGGAAACATCAGGTGGGGCTCCCTCGGCAGTGGCTGAGGGGTGGGCAGGTGCCCAGCAGCTTTCCCTTGGATGTGCTCACCTGGGTCAGGGCTTATCTCTTACCTTTGGTGATGTTGTGCAGACGCAAGCTGAGGAAGAGCGGCCTCAAACTCTGTCCTATATCCCGGTCCAGAAAGCAACGGTTCTTGGGAAAGCTTAGCAGAGGCACAAAGAAGAATAACAGACCTTCAGCAAACTCCTTTCTGGAATAAGCCCGGGCTAGGGAAAGCCATGTCATACAGACTAGCGGCTTCACCAGCCAGTGGGGAATGGGGCCTGGGTCTCTCCAGAGGGGTCAGGTATGTGGAAGCAGATGGTAGCTTAGATGACATTTTATAAAGTCCAGCCCCAGAGATGGTAATGGAGACAAATGCTTATATTCCCTTCAGCATCTACCACTGAGTTCTGTACATAGTAGGTGCCCAGTAAATGTGTATTAAGTGACTGATGGGAACACATGTTACTTGACAGAGGACCTCAATATGCATTTTCTCACATGAGTGTCACAAACTTCCTGTGGGGCAGACAGGGCAAGGATTGTTAGCTTCATTTCACAGATGACAAGTAGAGGCTCAGCCTAGATGGGAACCCAGGACTCCTGACTCCTGTACATATGATGCCCTTCCAGTAAGCGACCAAATGATACACTTCAAAAGTGCTTTCTGGTAAAATTGAAAAGGAGAAAACAGATGTGTTGGGTAATCAGTTTTAGCAGCTGGTTTCAGGATCAGTTCTACTGTATTCAGTTCAGCTTAATACTAAGCTCCAAATAACTTCCTCATGAAGCTGAAGGTCAGCACTGGGTTGAGAAGATCCAGTTCTTTTTGAGAAGACATGCACACATAGACACACATTTAATTCCCTGCCCTTGTTTTGAAATAACTTACTTCACAAAAAACGGCCACTTTTCATAAGCAGGGACAATGGGGAACAATGTTTCCAAGTCTCTGGAAATGCAAAGTCATTTCCACAAGGCAGAGCTTGCATAGGACATGCCCAGGGTACTTGTAGATTATTTTTCCATAAATCAAGAGTGATGTCCAAGTCACACCCTTTGCCAGCTGGACGGAGGTCACCACTGGCCAAGTGCCCCCTCCGTCAGAGATGCCCGCCAGCTTTCCTGGAATCATTTATTTTCAGAAGATCTGGGAATTCCTGGGACTGCCCAACTGCTCCACATCAGGGATGCCAGAAGATAGGTCTAGAGGTGCAGAAAAGTTGTGGGCACAAGGACAAGTAAGTTCTGATTCAATTCGAGGGGTATTTACCAGCATCTACCCTGTGCCTGTCTCTGGAGGTGGACAGAGCAGCCGTAAATAAAGTCACGTGGATGCTCTCAGAAGTGCAGAATTATTGGTCCGGGAACCAGCCCTCCATTACCCAGGATAAGTGGAGCCGGGGCTGGTGGGTGCAGTGCCTGTGCCCTGCAAACACTGACATCCTCTTGGGACAAATAACACTCGCTCACTCCCTTTCCTCACATGATCAGGATGCCTCCTCCTTCTTCTGCCTCTTTTTCATCATGTCATGGAGGAACAGCTGAGGCATCATTATGGCTAGGCAGCAAATGTCAAGGGGGAAGAAGGGACCAAGCTGATGCCTTCCTCTCCTGCCTCATCCAGTGCTCTGGGGACAAGCCAGCACCTATGGCCAGGGCTCCACAGCCTGGCACTGCCCTGAGCAGTGAGCCCCTGCTGGAGCTGCAGCTTGAATACAGATTCAGCTGCAAAAAGGAAAGGACCCAACTGGAGGAACGCATCGCCCTCCACCAGGAAGCTCCAGGCCCAGTTCTGCTGATTTGTTGGCATGGCAAAGCTGCTGGCGGGGGCAAGAGGAACCAAGACCCTGATCCTCCTTTGAGAGGCACTCTGACTCAATGGCCATTCAGCCAGGGCCTCTCTGGAGAGCCTTCCTGTCCCCAGGGATTTGGAAACAGCTTTGTTGAGACAGCTGGTTGGATTTTATGACCCCTTGGGGCCTCTGGGAAGTGGCACTGACATCCACTTTTGTGGCTGACATGGAGAGGCCATGAGTCATCTCATCATTCAACCAAGCTGGGGACCCCGAGACAGGCAGACCAGGGTCTAGTCCAAGCCGGGCCAGCCACAGTCCTGTGCCTGGGCCTCTCAGAGCTTCACTCTCCTCTGTCAAGTGGGAGCAGTAGCCACACTGGGGAAATGGGAGGAGTAAAGCTGACAGTGTTTGGGAAGGGCTTGGGCCAGCTGTGGTACCCAGTGAGTCCTCAACACCTATAAGCACCACCATTGTTCTCCTGCCCCAGGGAAAGTGAATGGACTCAAGGAGGGTCAAATGCAGGGAATTGCTCTTGATGGCATTCATCATCATTGTCACCCTCCAAATCACCCAAGTTATGGAACACCTCAAAGAAAGAGAGTAGTGTCCTCAGCTTCTGATTTCCTGAAATCTCAAAGGATCTAAGGGTTGTGGTCCACCCTCAGAACGGATCAATATAACCCGGCTCCAGGAGCCTAGTGAGGCCCATTGTCTTGGAGCTGGTGTCCTACACAGGCCACTCAGGGCCAGTCTAGCACGTTTTCCATTTTACTTGACACCACTTAGCCGTCTGGGAGCAGAGGCACCTACTCCTCCCTGGCCTAGCGGTGAGTGCATTCAGGTGGTGTCACATAAGATAGGAGCCAGCAGCTGCTGAGTCTGGGGACTGCTGTACCTGGTTATGCCAGTGAAGTCAAAGACTGCCATGGTTTCCCCGGTACTGTGCTCTGTTTGTGCAAAGACCTCTTTTGGTTTAGCACTTACTTTTTTGAGACAATTTCAGGTGATGATCTCTGCCTCCCAAAGTTCACTGAGAAACCCTGGGGAGTGACCTCTCTCGGGAAGACAGTTCACAATTCCTTGCTACCGAAAGACACACCCAGGTTGGCTCCAGGTTCTACTTGCTAGACCCTGGGAACAAATCTCCCATAGACTCTCACAGTGCCTGGGGACAAGTCTCCCTCTGATGGGTACATATTGTAATGTTAGAGGTGCTCTTAGCCACAACTTTCTTACTTCCTTTACCCTGTCATCTGCTGGAGCCTTCGACCCTTCCTGCAAGGGTCAGGCCCACAGCCCTGATAGTCCTGGTACTTCGGATTTGAGCCTTAACATACATATATGCTACAGCACGGATGAACCTGGAAGCAGAACGCCAGACACAAGGGCAAATGCTGGATGACGATGACTCTGCTCTGTGAGGTACCTAGAGTCATCAAATTCCTAGAGACAGCAGGTAGAATGGGGGCTGCCAGGGGCTAGGGAGGGGAAATGGGAGTTGATTCAGGGGTAGAGCTTCAGTTTGGGAAGACGGAAAAGTTCTGGAGATGGCTTCACAACAGCGTATGCCACCGAACCGAACGCGTGAGAACGGCTAAAATGGGAAAAATTCAGGCTATGAGTATTTTGCCACAAATTAAAAAAGAAATTAGGGTTAAAAATGACTTAGCTTATTTGAGAAATACTTGAACTAGCATATTAAATTTTAAGACAACATTTGAAAAAAAATACACATTTAGGGCAATAACTCACAATAAGAAGAGGAAATGGCTTTTTTTTTTTTTTTTTTCTTCAAAATATAACTCAGTGTAGAAGACTCGGGACACTTCCGAAATCAAAGAACCAGGAAATGGAGGCCGGGTGCCATGGCTCATACCTGTAATCCCAGCACTTTGGGATGCCAAGGGGCAGGCAGATCACCTGAGGTCAGGAGTTCAAGACCAGCCCGGCCAACATGGTGAAACCCCAACTCTACTAAGAACACAAAAGTTAGCCAGGCATGGTAGCAGGCACCTGGAATCCCAGCTACTTGGAAGGCTAAGGCAGGAGAATTGCTTGAACTTGGGAGGCAGAGGTTGCAGTGAGCTGAGATCGCGACACAGCACTCCAGTCTGAGCGACACAGTGAGACTCCATCTCAAAAAAAACCCAGGAAATGTTCCTCTTGGCTCCTAACACTCAGGTGTGGCAAATGAAACAACAATTCCTGCTGCCACCCCCACATCATGACCTACCAAAGGTCATTTTAGAATCCCTGTCACATACTGTCCTGGGCCTTTTCTTCCACTCGGGGCTGACCCACCCATCAGTCCCAGTGAGTATGTGTTACCTCCATGCACTGTGCTTAGGCTGCTTGCCCCAAGTCTACAGGCAGTGGATGGCAGAGGTGGGGCTGAGACTCGGGGCTGACTTCTTCTAACATGCATCTCATTTATTGCTTGTGTCTGCTCCTGGATTGCAAGCTCCGTGATGACAGGGTTTGTGTCTGCATTGTTTACTGTTGTACTCTTGGTGTCTTTTACAGTGCCCAGCACTTAGCTTGCAACATGTTGGGTGAATTAATTGGATGAATGACCTCGTCCCTGCCAACTCTCCAGCCTCATTCACCCATCCCTCCACTCACCCATAACTTATCTTCTAGGAATGCCAATAGGGCATTCCTAGTGCACATGCTCACACACACTTGCCTGCACATACAGGCCAGCCTATGCCACTGTCTGCATGCCCATGTGATCCTGTCTGCTGTCACCATGACCTATCAGCTTTTCCCTGAGACCGAGTTCAGTGTCCTTCTGCCTGTCGAGATGGTCCTGACTAGCACAAAGGGAAATCCTGTCTAATCAGAACCACAGCTGCCCGTTTTAAGGACCTCCTACACCCAGACTCCTGTGCTCCTTCCATTCCTCCATGCTTACTGTTGAAGGTATGTTTGGTGCTTCTCCGTATGCCTGGAAAGCCAAGAAGCAACGCTGGGGAAGTAGAAAGTTAGTAAGAACTAACCATAATATTTAGGGATCTTGAGAACAAGAGAGACTCAGGTTCCAGAGATCCAAGTTAAAGGAGAGCAGAGGCATCACCTTTCAGAACAAGAAAAGACACAAACAAGGCAAGAAGCACAAACATCAGATAATGAGAAATCCTCTTGTCCCAGAATACATCAACCTCCCTGCACAAGGCCTGGTTGAATTATTCTAAAAGAGAACAATTTAATAGTCCTAATGTCCATGACTCATGGGATATTTCAAAATTAATATGCTGGTAAAGAGATCAGTGTTGTCACACCAGGGGTGCCCAGTTTCATGCTAACTCTGGCTACATCTGCAAATGCCATTCATGAATCACAACAGGCACATGGCTTCTGC